GCCCGGTGCTGCCACACAGTTCACAGACTCCCAAGCCTGGCCAGCCAGTGTGGACAGCCCCCTTCCCCCCCCCCACTTAGTACGCCACTGGTTGTGACTATAAAGCTCTATTTTGGTCTCGTCACTCCAAATTACAGTGTGCCAGAAGCTGTGAGGCATGTCAAGGTGTTGTCGGGTATATTGTAACCGGGCTTCTTTATGGCATTGGTGCAGTAAAGGCTCCTTTCTGGCAACTCGACCATGCAGCTCATTTTTGTTTAACTATCATCATATTGTGCTTCTTGAAACAACCACACTGTCTTTTTCCAGAGCAGTCTGTATATGTGTCTGTAACAAGGCCAAACATTCAAGGGTCCCTAAACTTTTGATCAGGGCCATTTGGGTGATTGCTATCATTATGATTTAAAAAGGAGCCAAACAACTAGTTTTTTTGCATGATCAGTCGTATTTTCAAAATCAATGCCAAAATGTCACAGTTTCTGTCAGGGTATGCACACTTTTGAGCAGAACTGTACATGTATTAGTCACTTTGGTGACATGCTAGAGTGAGGTTATGATATATAAATGCACTACTGAATTTATTTTGGATGGGTAATTTCTCAAAACCATATTTTATATGACAAACATAGTAAGATATGATTTAAATATGCACCACGAATAAGCCACATGCTATGAACACGGTATAAGTACTGCTGGCAAACGGAAACCTTTTATGTTTGTGTGTTTATATACAGCACTGTATAACCTGGGTATATGTATGTAAGAGGTCTGCCCAGAGAAAGTCCAGCCATTGTTAATTGTTAATAATGAGAATGGTTTGCGCAACATTACTATAACCTGGCAACCAAGGAGAGTGAACTGGAATGCACATGCGTGAACAATGACGACTTCACTGTATTAGTCAATGGGTGCACTAGACAGCGTTGAGTGAGCATGTGTACTGTGTGGCCGTCTCACTCAAAATGACTGAGCAAGTATAGCAATAATTATGCATCTTATTTTGCGTGAAGCTTAAACATTTATCCGCGGAAACTTTAGATAATTCTGAAGGCTTTGGGGGACAATGAAATGAGTGCAGATGGTCGAGAATATGTTGATTTGGCACCCTGCAACTTCTGGCTTTTCCCAAAACTAAAACCACCTTTGATAGGGAGAGATTTCACACCATCAATGAGATTCAGGCCTATATGCCGAGGCAGCTAATGGATCTGCAGGAATTTATTACTTCTCTACTACCAAAGGTCATCATGAAGGTTCCTAAAGAGGACAGATTCTTGGAGTTCTACTCTTACCTATTTCTAACAAAGAAGGCATCAGAATGCTGAAGACCGATTTACATTTTTTTACAAATTGAATGGATTCCTGGGAATAGGAAAATTCAAGATGAAATCTCTGCTGTCCATTCTGAAGATGGTGTTCCCAGGCTAATAGATGATGCTGATAGATCTACAAGACACCTGTTTTTACCTTCTGATAGCTTCTCAACATCAAAGTTTCCTGACATTTGCTGTGTAAAGAGGTCATTTCCAGTTCACTACAACTCCTTTTGTATTATCTGCTTAGCAATGCTCCCTGCATGATCCTGAAGGCTGAGGGAAAGGCCTGTCCATTATGGGTGTTGTTAGTGACGTGGGTCATGCCACTGATACTGCCGCCTAGGCTTCACCAATCACTATCTGATTGCCTATACCAATTTGTTTGGGATGGGGCAATCGGTGGGAAATGTATTTTTGTTATTGTATTTATACTTGTATTTAGTGTTGTAGAATTTGTAAGCATTGTATAAATACTGATAAAGCAAAACAGATCTAAAAAGCCATATTATTCCTCAAAGCAAATTTACATTGTTAGTTTGTATGTGCAAAACTGTACCATACTTGGACATACATTGTTGCGAAGCTAACAAGACATAACAATCCTTACTTTTCCTTTATTATCCCATCTAATCATTTTAAATAAATATATACATGGATTTAATTACTGCCTATATGTGTCATACCTCTATAGTGTACACTTAACTACACTTACACCTGGCCTAATAGTGACATGCAACTCTTCTTTAAATGGATACTCTAAGCACTATAACAGCCTTAGTTTGATGCAGTGTTGGTGTTTATATCATGCCTATACTGTATCAGTTGTTTCCTTTTTAGGTGTGATAGAGACACCCGAGTAAAATAAAGAAAAAACTCATGGCCCCCATATGGCTTATAAAACCTCCAACCTTCTCCCCTTACCTGCAACCCTATTCTCGAAATGGCCCTCCCACCTCTTCCCTTTACAAAAATCAATTATAACTCGTGGATCTTCTTTATTACAGGCCTGACCTCTCATCTGTTTCGGCATACCACAACCGACTTGTTCATACAATGGTTTCCTATTACACAACATATTACATTCTATACAGCTATAATGTTACCTGACATAAATATATATAAAGGCTGGGCCTGTAGTTGTGGGAGTGGCTTAAGTCCCCCCTTGAAGGGACTCCTATCATGTCTCCCACACCGTTACCTGGTCTGGCGATTTGCATTACCCTTCCAGCACTCCCTCTATTCACATCATTCACTTATTACTAATCCTAGGCTGGGCTCTATTTATTACAGGCCTACCGCATCTTCAGTTTTGGCACACATATTAAGTGTTACATCTATACTATGTCAATCACATTCGCTCATTATGGCATTATGCCTGAACACAAATGTATATATATATATATATATATATAAAAAAATAATTGTAGCTCTGTAAAATAGGTCTCAGAAAATTGTTATTTAAATTCAATTTTACTTTGATTTTATTCATGAACTGTATAAACGGCATGTTCTAAAAACTCTTTTATACAGATTCTTCGCTCTTTCCTTTAAACATTCAGTTCTGGAAACAAATATTGCTCTTGCAGTTGCAATTAAACTATGCATGGTTTTTATCTCATCTGTATGATTGTAAATGTAGCTTTTACAGTAGAAGCAAAACACATGATTTGCCAATGTTCACGTGAAATGCTTTCATTTTTACAATGTTTTTTTGAATGAAAACAACTATTATGTTTTATTCTAATTAGAGCAATGAAGTGACATTGCTCCAACTGTGAGTACATTATGAGATAATCTGTTGGTAACTTTAGTAATTGTGAGTTTTATGTCTTCTTGGCTTCTGCAGAACTATATGCATTTTCCAAAATTGTTTTAGCTGCCGGAGGTCTGCTTTTTCTCCATAAATGGAAAAGAAAATGTGTGCATTGGTCAACAATGTTGTTTCTTCACGGCTTACTGTAAATCCGATATTACATGATAAAAATGGTGAGGCAGTATAAAGTTAACAGAACAGGGAAAAAAAGGTAAAATGCCTACCTGGGGATGGAGATTAGCTTTTCCTACATGCAGTGCTTTTCCTACACGCAGTGCTACCCAAATCTCAGAATTTTTTGATCTCTCCCATATTAGATTATAAAACAAATAATATAAAACAAATTCTAGTCTAGAGAGACAGGAATGTCTCTGGCATGGTGTTGTTCGAGTTTTAACTTTCATATTGGTATGAATGAGAACATATTAGAATATTTTGTCATCAATGTAACAAAGTTCTTTCCTTCATTCTGCATGTCAACAGACTTGTGCTTTTGCTTTCAAAAGAATTGCATTTTATTCGAGTTTTAGGTAATAAGCAAACTCTGTATCGCCATATGGATGGATGATGAAACAAATGGTTTTGTTTGAATCATGACTTGGAGCTCTGCCATTGATGGGGAAAACAAGATATGATTGATAGGAAAGATGTTCATTGATGGTCAGAGGACAGCCACTAAATGCTGATTTTATTCATAGTGAGAAGTTACCAATAGAGGTACAAAGGAGGAACAGTGAAACATATATGTATACTTATACATTGCTCAAAAAAATAAAGGGAACACAAAAATAACACATCCTAGATCTGAATGAATTAAATATTATTCTGAAATACTTTGTTCTTTACATAGTTGAATGTACTGACAACAAAATCACACAAAAATAAAAAAATGGAAATCAAATTTTACAACCCATGGAGGTCTGGATTTGGAGTCACACTGAAAATTAAAGTGGAAAAACACACTACAGGCTGCTCCAACTTTGATGTAATGTCCTTAAAACAAGTCAAATGAGGCTCAGTAGTGTGTGTGGCCTCCACGTCAGTGGCGTCTTTAGGATTCATTTTTAAGCGGGGCACATGGTGGGCCAGGGACAAAAGTAGGGGGGCACATTTAACCCTGCCCTTACCGCAGTTTGACCCGCCCCTGCCGAATGTTAAGCCCCGCCCCTGACACAATGTGTTGATTTTTTTTTTAATAATCCCTGGTGGAGGATTCATTATTTTCCACCAGGGATTAAAAAACAAAACACATTTCCCTTGATACAGTGCCATAGTTGCCAACATTTGAAAAAAATTTCCAAGGACATTTTGCAGCACAGCTATCAATTACTGTCTGTGTATAATATCCCTGGACAATCAGTGCTCTCTGTATAATACAGGGTTGTGTGTATAATAAATTGTGACAGTCAGTGCTCCCTGTATAGTGCTGCTCTCTGTATAATACAGGTTTGTTTGTGTATATATTCCCAATACAGAGAGCAGCACTCTACAGGAATAGAGATGTCGCGAACTGTCTGCGAACATCTCGCGAACGGTTCGCCACGGTTCGCCACGAGCTGTTCGCGGCGAACTCCGGTCAGCTGACACATCCCGGCCAATCTCCATCAGACCCTCCCTCCCAGACCCTCCTACTTCCTGGACAGCATCCATGTTTCCCACACCGTTACCTGGTCTAGAGATTAGGACATGGGGTATCTGCTCAGCTATCTGTATAATACTATAGTGCTGTTCTCTGTATAATACTGATCTGTGTGTATATAATATCCCGGGATAGTCAGTGTTCCTGTATAGAGATGTCGCGAACATCTCGCGAACGGTTCGCCACGAGCTGTTCGTGGCGAACTCCGGTCAGCTGACACGTCCCGGCCAATCTCCAGCAGACCCTCCCTCCCAGACCCTCCTACTTCCTGAAACATGGATGCTGTCCAGGAAGTAGGAGGGTCTGGGAGGGAGGGTCTGCTGGAGATTGGCTGGGACGTGCCAGCTGACCGGAATTCGCCTCGAACAGCTCGTGGCGAACCGTTCGCGAGATGTTCGCGACATCTCTATACAGGAACACTGACTATCCCGGGATATTATATACACACAGATCAGTATTATACAGAGAACAGCACTATAGTATTATAGTTGCTGTTGACAGGTACTATAGTAGTATAGTAGCACTATAGTAGTATAATTGCTGTTGACATGGATGCTGTCCAGGAAGTAGGAGGGTCTGGGAGGGAGGGTCTGCTGGAGATTGGCCGGGACGTGTCAGCTGACCGGAGTTCGCCGCGAACAGCTCGTGGCGAACCGTGGCGAACCGTTCGCGAGATGATCGCGGACGGTTCGCGACATCTCTATTCCGGCCAATCTCCAGCAGACCCTCCCTCCCAGACCCTCCTACTTCCTGGACAGCATCCATGTTTCAACATGGATGCTGTCCAGGAAGTAGGAGGGTCTGGGAGGGAGGGTCTGCTGGAGATTGGACGGGACGTGTCAGCTGACCGGAGTTCGCCACGAACAGCTCGTGGCGAACCGTTCGCGACATCTCTATACAGGAACACTGACTATCCCGGGATATTATATACACACAGATCAGTATTATACAGAGAACAGCACTATAGTATTATACAGATAGCTGAGCAGATACCCCATGTCCTAATCTCTAGACTACTAGTACCTGTCAACAGCAACTCCCAGACGCATGTAACAGGGCTAAAGTGTGCGGCAGTCCACACAGATGATTCAGCGGTAAAGCGCACTCGCTGGCAGAGCCAAACTGAGAATCCAAAGCAGCCCTGGAAAAAAATGTATGCCATTTCTATAAGTCAATATGTGTATATTGTACAGTAAGCACACAAGTTCACTGACATGCGCAAATAGGCTTACTGACAGAAAAAAAACTCTCTGACTCACACACAAGCTTACTACAGACAAACGCACTTGTATAAACACAAGGCTCACTACAAAGAAGTTCAGGGACACACACAAGCTCACTAAAGACAAGCTCACTGACACACACAAGCAGTACCATCTTAACAGCGTTAAGGGCCCCGGGCAAAGCAGTGCACTGGGGCCTTTCCTACACAACAACTCACAGGAATAAAAATTCTAATTGTTGATAGACTGCTGAGTACATACACACAGTACACTGAATATGAATACCGAGAGACTGCTGAATACACATACACACACAGATTTCTAAATGCACACAGACTCCTGAATGCACACAGGCATTGCTGAATGCACACAGTCTATAGTCCATACATACACACACAGACATACAGACTGCTGAGTCCATACACACACACAGACTAATGAGTCCATATACACACACAGACACACACACAGACTGCAAAGTCCATATACACACACAGACACACACACAGACTGCTGGGTCCATACACACACAAACACACACACACACACACACACAGACTGCTGAGTCCATACACACACACACACACAGACTGCTGAATCCATACACACACAGACACACACACAGACTGCTGAGTCCTTACACACACACATACACAGACTGCTGAGTCCATACACAAACATACACAGACACACAGACCGCTGAGTCCATGCACACACACACAGACATCACACAGTAGACCGCTGAGTCCATACACATGCACACATACACACAGACTGCTGAGTTAATACACACACACACACACAGACTGCTGAGTCCATACACACAGAGACTGCTGAGTCCACACCCACAGACTGCTGAGTTCACACACACACACACACAGACTGCTGAGTCCATACACACAGACTGCTGAGTTCATACACACACACACACACACAGACTGCTGAGTCCATACACACACACCCACAGACTGCTGAGTCCACACACAGACTGTTGAGTCCATACACACAGACTGCTGAGTTCATACACACACACACAGACTGCTGAGTCCATACACACACACACACAACACCGCTGAGTCCATATACACACACACACACACACACGCAAACACACAGACTGCTGAGTCCATACACACACAAACACAGAATGCTGAGTCCATACACACACAGACACACACACAGACTGCTGAGTCCTTACACACATACAGACTGTTGAGTTCATACACACACACACACACACACAGACTTCTGAGTCCATATACACACACACACACAAACACACAGACTGCTGAATCCATACATATACACAGACTGCTGAGTCCATACACACAGACACAGACTGCTGAGTCCATACACACAAAGACTGCTGAGTCCACACACACACAAACACACAGAATGCTGAGTCCATACACACACAGACACACACACAGACTGCTGAGTCCTTACACACATACAGACTGTTGAGTTCATACACACACACACAGAGACTTCTGAGTCCATATACACACACACACACACACAAACACACAGACTGCTGAATCCATACATATATACAGACTGCTGAGTCCATACACACAGACACAGACTGCTGAGTCCATACACACAAAGACTGCTGAGTCCACACACACACACACACACACACAGACACACAGACTGCTGAGTCCATACACACACACACACACACACACAGACACACAGACTGCTGAGTCCATACACACACACACGCACATAGACTGCTGAGTCCAAACACACACAGACTGCTGAGTCCATACATACATAGACTGCTGAGTCCATACACACAGTGGGCTGAGTTCATACACACACATAGACTGCTGAGTCCACACACACACACAGACTGCTGAGTCCATACACACACACCCACAGACTGCTGAGTCCATACATACAGAGACTGCTGAGTCCATACACAGAGAGACTGCTGACTCCATACACACACACAGACTGCTGAGTCCATACACATACACAGACTGCTAAGTCCATGCACACACACAGACTGCTGACTGAGTCCATACACACACACACACACACACAGACTGCTGAGTCCATACACACACACCTACACACACACAGACTGCTGAGTCCACACACACACACACAGACTGCTGAGTCCATACACACACAGACACACACAGAGACTGCTGAGTCAATACACACACACACACACAGACTGCTGAGTCCATACACACAAAGACACACACACACACAGACTGCTGAGTCCATACACACACACACACACAGACTGATGAGTCCACACACACAGGCTGCTGTCACAGACTGTTACAGTCCGAGGGAATAGAATCTAACCACATGGCCAGCAAGTTGCCGGCATTTGGGGGGGCGCAAGGGGGGGCACAGCATGATGTAGGGGGGGGCCATGGCCCCCTCTGGCCCCCCCTAGCGACGCCACTGCTCCACGTGCCTGTATGACCTCCCTACAACGCCTGTGCATGCTCCTGATGAGGTGGCGGATGGTCTCCTGAGGGATCTCCTCCCAGACCTGGACTAAAGCATCTGCCAACTCCTGGACAGTCTGTGGTGCAACGTGATGTTGGTGGATGGAGCAAGACATGATGTCCCAGAGGTGCTCAATTGGATTCAGGTCTGGGAAAAGGGTGGGCCAGTCCATAGCATCAATGCCTTCGTCTTACAGGAACTGCTGACACACTCCAGCCACATGAGGTCTAGCATTGTCTTGCATTAGGAAGAACCCAGGGCCAACTGCACCAGCATTTGGTCTCACAAGGGGTCTGAGGATCTCATCTCAATACCTAATGGCAGTCAGGCTACCTCTGTCGAGCACATGGAGGACTGTGCGGCCCCCCAAAGAAATGCCACCATTACTGACCCACTGCCAAACCGGTCATGCTGGAGGATGTTGCTGAACGTTTTCCATGGCGTCTCCAGACTCTGTTACGTCTGTCACATGTGCTCAGTGTGAACCTGCTTTCATCTGTGAAGAGCACAGGGCACCAGTGGCGAATTTGCCAATCTTGGTGTTCTCTAGCAAATGCCAAAACGTCCTGCACAGTGTTGGGCTGTAAGCACAACCCCCACCTGTGGACGTCAGACCCTCATAAAACCCTCATGGAGTCTGTTTCTGACCATTTGAGCAGACACATGCACATTTGTGGTCTGCTGGAGGTCATTTTGCAGGGCTCTGGCAGTGCTCCTCCTGTTCCTCCTTGCACAAAGGCGGAGGTAGCGGTCCTGCTGCTGGGTTGTTGCCCTCCTACGGCCTCCTCCACCACTCCTGATGTACTGGCCTGTCTCTTGGTAGCGCCTCCATGCTCTGGACACTACGCTGACAGACACTGCAAACCTTCTTGCCACAGCTCGCATTGATGTGCCATCCTGGATGAGCTGCACTGCCTGAGCCACTTATGTGGGTTGTAGACTCTGTCTCATGCTACCACCAGAGTGAAAGCACCGCCAGCATTCAAAAGTGACCAAAACGTCAGCCAGGAAGCATAGGAACTGAGAAGTGGTCTGTGGTCACCACCTGCAGAACCACTGCTTTATTGGGGGTGTCTTGCTAATTGCCTATAATTTCCACCTGTTGTCTATCCCATTTGCACAACAGCATGTGAAATTGATTGTCACTCAGTGTTGCTTCCTAAGTCTACAGTTTGATTTCACAGAAGTGTGATTGACTTGGAGTTACATTGTGTTGTTTAAGTGTTCCCTTTATTTTTTGAGCAGTGTATATTTAAGTGTAATCCCAAATCTTCAATTGTTTAAACAGTCCCTCAAAACACATCTGTTCAGAAATGCTTATGGACTCCCAGAGTAACTTATCTATAACTATCCATATCTGTCTTTTGTTTTCCTAAAGAGCCACACTCCATTCTCACCTCCAGTTATGCTACTTTTCCACCTTGTTTGGTGCTTGCACCCTTGCTGCCCTGTTGTGTTTTTGTGTACACTCATTTGAGCAGGGCCCTCATCTACCTATCGTTCCTGTATCACTGTGTAATTGTCTCATTTATTGTAAATTTCCCCCCCTTTCACAATATTGTAAAGCACTGCGGAGTTAGTTGGAGCTATATAAATACCAATAATAATAATAATAATAATAATTTATTATA